CTCCACCCCGTGAGGGGTCAGACACTACCTCTTTATTTAAATTAGAAACTGCGGATGAACAGGCTCACAGAGCTCACTGTTCTGACTGCGGCGGGCTTGTGGCAGTCCTATGCCCACTTTGATAAAAACGTGAGGTACAAATGCATGTAAGAAAAAGAGAGAGGGAAGGGAAAAAGGAAGAAGGAAGATGGGGGTGGGTGAGGGAAAATGCATACGTGTTTGAGAGGGGGCAAAGGAGGAGACACAACATATTTTGTATTAATCACCAAAAAAACTTCTGTCATTTGTATCTATTTTTTTTTTTTTCACTGAAATAAAAAGATGCGAAGAGGATGGGCCAACAATGGCTTTGTTGTGGCATTGAGCTTGATCATGGTATTCATTTTTTCATTGACTTAACACTGATTAAACAACTTGCAAGCCAGTTTCCCAGCTCGTACTCTGTCCCCTCTAATCCATACCCTTCTCCTCCAGTTTGAGATATTGTTTAAGCAACTCCAGTTTTTGTCACTCCCCAGCTTCAAATCCTTCAAAGCCTTCGGACTGAATTTCTTCTGCTTGGATGCCTGGCATCATGTTAGCTTTTGTGATTAAACGGGGAATAAAGCCACGGTCCTGTCTTGGGAAGTTAACAGTCCAGCGCAGGCTACTGAGTTAAAAAGTCACAAGAAGAGCCCAGGCAGGGGAGTGGGCGAAAATGCTATCAGAGCAGAGAAAAGTGGGAAGGGGAGTTGAGAAATTATTCAAAGAGAAAATGACACTTGAGCTGGATCTCAAAAAATAAGGCTTCGGTCACCAAGTGCGACTAAGCAGAAAAGCCTGTGGGGTTGGTCGTCTGCACGTCAGGCTTTGAGGCAGGAAAACCTTGGCCATCTGGAAAGGAAAGGAGTTTGGCATGGCGGGACCACAGAGTCGAAAGGAAAGGGTAAGTCACAGACAGAGGGTTAAGAATATTGCGTGGTGCAGAAACCTTTCTACGAAGAAGGAGCATCAAAGGTTTTTAATTTGGGGAGCACAGGATTAAAACTGTGTGAGAAATTTCTCTGATGATGACAGAGACAGCGCAGGGGAAATACCAGGCCACAAGAGAGATGACAAAGACCTGGGATCAGGGGAGCAGCCAAGACGACTGAGTTAAACGGGCTGAAGGAAAGACGGGGCGTGAGGGATTAGTAGGGGCTCGGGCAGAGGGTTCTCTGAAGTTTCTGGCTGTGCTACTGGGTAGATGCCCTTACTTAGGAAGATATGGAAGGCAGGAAGAACATTAGAGACCACAGCTGGTGAGTGTAAAAACCCTAATGCTTAACTGTAATCAACTGTTCTATGATTTCAATATAAATTCACTAACACATTAAATTACTTAAGATGTGGGTTCATAACCCTTCCATGTCAAAATACATCCTTGAGTCAAAATATATGGCCTTGAATCAAAAGAAATTGTTTTCTTTCTGTTTAAAAACAGAAATGCCCTTCTCTGAGAAGTGGGATTGAGATATACTTGAAATAACCTTGTACAGTTTGTACTAATCTTGAAAATTACATAAAAAAAATTAGAGGTAGGAAAGGACATTAAAAATCTTGCTCAAGCCTAATTTAAGGAATGAAATCATCTTAGTCCAGGGGGAGCATGAACTTTGTCCGGACTTATAAATCTGACTGTTGGCAAAGTTAGAACCAGAACTCAGGGCTCCCGATCTTAGCACGGAGATGTCAGTAGAGCCAGATTTGCTGAGTTGGAGGAAGGGTCTGATCATGATCTGAAGGAGGCTGAATCCTTCCCACAACTGTACTGCTTCAAAGAAGCCTTATTATTCAAATCAGAAAGAAAAGCAGATCTTCACTTGGCCTTCTAAGAAGGTTTTTCAAATTCCAGGAAATCTAAGGATTAATTTCAAATTTGTGATTTATAAAACAACATTAATAGTT